TCGATAGTGTAGCGATACTCATCAACTTCATTGACCATCTCAGCAGTTTTCCACGAACATGTTTTTTCACTTCACGACCTGGGGCGAAGACATGTATCAGGTTGCGGTGGTCGCAATACATGCGAAATCCACGCGGCCGTAGCAACAGATAGCTGAGCTTGTCACAAGCCATGATAATTGGGTAGGCTTCTTTCTCTATGACACTCCAGTTCTTTTGTGCACCAGTGAAAGTACCACCAAGACAGATAAGCAGCTCGTGCTGCTGGTCCTGGATGTCTGCATCACTTTTCCAACTGGGCACTTGCGATACAATCACTGACCATCCAATGTCTGAGGCATCCGTCAGCAGGACCATCTCGCTGTCTGGCTTTGGGAACGCCAGGGTGGCCGTGTCAGCCAGAGCCTGCTTCACCGCATCATACGCCTCGCATTCCTGCTCGGTAAGTGTGATCGGTATACCCGCTGCCACTCGCTTGGTCCGCCGGGAAGCCTGAGTCATTGCCTTATCCAGTGTGTCCTGCAGTGGACGTGCCAATCGGGCGTAGTCCACAATGCTGTCTCTCATCCAGTTCGTAGAACAGAGAAACTGCTGAAGTTCACCAGCGTTCGACGGATTGGGCATGCTACGTAGAGCTTCTATTCGCTCAGGGTCATGTTTCACACCTTCACCATCTATCAACTTTCCACACCATTTTACTTCACGCTTGTACACGCAGGACTTGGCTACACTTAGCTTGAAACCGAATTTCGCCGTGAGCTGTAGCAGTTCCTGCAATTTGTCGAGGTACGTGTCGATATCCACAGCATACAGCAGTAAGTCATCTATCCAGACTAGCAGGTGCTTGTATAACAGCGCCGCAAAGCATCTCTCGATCGTTGACTGAAAATACAAGGCTGCGTCCGCACTTCCTTGCGGAACTCTAGTTGGGGTGTAGATCTTCCTGTGGGTCATATAGGGTCCTGGCACTCTTTGGCGAGGGGTAGCTGCCAGTAACCTTTAATGAAGTCGAACAGTCCAAAGTGCCTGCTACCTCTAACTTTCTCCAAATCCACGTGAAGGTTTGGCATCAGACCTGCTATAACCTCTGTCTGAGCGTTAAAAGGTTTGTAGTCGACAGTCTGGCGAAAACCACCATCACCACGCTTGCGCAGTGGTAAAGCAGCACAGGCCCACCGACTGGTGGGGTTCTCGTACACCCACCCCAGTTTGACGAGCATGTCGTTGAACGACTCGAGGAACGCCTGGTATTCCGGCGCATACTTGCGAGCCTTCGCCTTGTATGGTCGACAGCCCGTCTTCATCTTAATTTTCATCGGCTCGAGGGGGGTCATTGCCGAGTACGAGTCTCCAGACATCGTACGCATGCACAATTGTGCGCAACCGCTCGAGTTTATCAGCGGGG